TGATGAGCTGCCGCTGTTTGCTGTGTTTGAGTGATCTGTCCGAGCCGTCAGCTGCAAGGATGATACTTTCACTTTGTTCGTGGGGATTTTTGCAGATTTAATATCAAGGTGGTAGTCACTGACCACAAAGTAAGCCTATTTTATTTATATTTGTGTTTACAGTGATCGCTACAGTGTTATATGTACCATATGAACATGCCCAGACATGTCCTGTAACGATCTTTCTGTAGTATTCAGATTGGGAATATTACTTAACGGGTAATTATTCATACTTTATCAAGATGTAAATCAGTGTTATGATGTCTTAATGACGTGATGTTGTTCTGTTAAGCTGCTACAATACCGAACGAGTGATTAGCGTTCTGTTTATGCAAATGTTACTCCAATGCACCACGATTCTATCCATATATGGGAACTTTATGTTCATAGGGACAAATGATCACCCATGACTTGTAGTTTTCTGTGAAATACCTTGTTTCCCTTCATTTAACTGTATGTTCAGTAGAGAAATGCCAATTATGTGAATTATGAATGCTTTGGTTTCATTATGTAACCGTAAATATTATTATTGTTTATCTATATCTTTCGCTTATTCATTTCTCTATTATACTTATTCTGCAGACTATCTACACCTTTGATTGTACCTCTGTGGCCCTTCCTTTTCTCTACTAATACACCATAGAAAGCTAATCACCTGTCTCTTCATTATTGGTGCTCTGACCGGCACCCAGGGGGGTTTACTCATCCATTACCTGATCAGAACCTAACAGTCCCAAAGTCTCTCCAACAAATTGGTCCTTCGAGCCGGATGAGTATTCCCTTCTGACATGATGGATCCTGATGAGGAGATTATTGCTGGTGTTCGTCCTAAACGCCATACTCGTCCTCCAGCTTACCTACAGCAGTATGAAGTACAGTATACCCGAGGCAGACCTGTCGCTGAGTATGATGTCCCACACCCCTGGGATGCACCTGTCCACCGGACCCCCTCCCATCCTTCCAGCCTTACGCCAGTCCTCCTGGTGGTTACCTGGTCTGTTCTGATGGCTCTCGAATCATGTCCTCAAATTATCAGCCTCCACAGCATGCTGAATTCCATCAGCCATCCTTCTCCTCGCCTCAAGCGGCTGGTTTCATTTCCTCTACACATGACAGTGAACTACAGCACCTGCGTCATGAGCATGCACAATTAATGCAGACTCATCAGGCTTTTCAGGTAGACCTGAGGGAGCTGAGAGAAGTCCATGCAGAAGTCAGAGAATTAGTTCAAGTTGCTCAGTCCCTTCGAGCTGACCTTCAAACCAGTCAAACGAGTGAAACCAGAGGTCAGAATCTCTCACCTGCACAGCCACCAGCATTGCAGTTATCCACTCCTCCTGTGAGGTGGTATGAATCCACACCTTTAGAGGAGGATGGAAATTTTGCTGATCTTCCCCTACCGCTATGGCCTGAGCCTGACGTTGACTTGATGAACCAGGTGGGTGACCTTTCACTCTCCGACATGGGTGTCACTGTTTACCATCCGGTGATGCCAAAGACTAGAAAGTATTCCTTTGTGTTCCCGGCTACTGAAACACTTGCTCGGCTCCGGATAGCTCTGGAGAACCTGCTTCCCCCAGACGGGACAGAACTATTCAAATATCAGATCTTAGTGGATCACCTTAAGCTGGAGGAGGCTAGAATGATAGCGGATGCTTATCTTAACTCACCTACTCCATTCACTTATACGATGTCAGCGCTTCATGATAAATTTGGCCAACCACATCAGCTAGCTTTAAGGAAGATTGCTAGTGTTCTTGAGAGTCCTGACATTAAGCGAGGTGATATCTCAGCCTTCTAGAGGTTTGCTCTTCAGGTGCAGTCACTAGTGGGTTTATTGAGAACCCTGGGACGTGACGGTGAGCTGGAGCTGAGTTGTGGGTCCCACGTCGCACGCCTCCTGAGTAAGCTACCCCCTGAGCAGCGAGCTGAGTTTCGTCGGCATATGTTCCGCCAACCTGGCACAACCCCTAATCTGGTTGATCTTTCAAACTGGCTTCGTTACGAAACTTGGTGCCACAGTTATGATACTGAGCCGATGTCCAAGGGTTCGCACGTTAAATCAGATTCAGGGAAAAGAACCGTGACCATTCTGCATGGAGTTGGAGAATCCCCGGTTGAGACTCCCTTCCATTGGAAAGGTCCTGTTTCACAAACCAAGCCTGCCAAAGTGAAATGTTATTGTCCTTTCTGTGATTAGACTGAGCATTACCTGAGCCAGTGTGCATTATTCGCTAAGTTTACCTCAGACCAGGTCAGGACGTGGATTCGCAGTAACAACCGTTGTTGGCGCTGTGCCAGGGCACACCATGCTGCTCAGTGTGACCTTAAAAAGCCATGCAACCTCTGCCAGGGTACCCATCACCGTCCACTCCATGAGGTGAATGTCAGTCCATCCCCGAAGGAGGATTCAGCTAACATGGAGAAGAGCTGCCTGACAAATTCCTCCCCAGATAGGTTATTTCTAGATAAACCCTCGATCAAAGGACGAGTTATGCTCAAAGTGGTTCCGGTGAATCTGCATTATGACGATCGATCCTTGGACACCTTCGCTCTTCTTGATGATGGGTCAGAGAGAACCATTCTGCTCTCCACTGCAGTTAAGGCCTTGGGGATTCAGGGTGTCCCAGAAGATCTGCCATTGCGGACAGTGAGAGATGATATTCAGCTCATTCATGGTTATTCTATTTCCTTTCACATCTCGCCCCTCTGTAAACCTCAGACCAGTTATAAGATCAATCATGCCTTCACGGCTGATCGTCTTAACCTGTCACCCCAGTCTTACCCGGTAGAACAGCTACAACAGAAGTACAGACATCTGCGTGGTCTTCCCATCCGTACACTCACTGATGTCCAACCTTTACTTCTCATCGGTTCAGATCAGCCCCATCTCATAACCCCAACAGAGCCTGTTCGATTGGGTGGCCCAGGTGCACCAGCTGCAGTTCACACACGCCTAGGATGGACACTCCAGGGTCCTATACCTTCTATGGGGTGTCCCCCTACCACACGGTAATGTCTGCTAACCTCTATGGCTCCAATTCAGGATGAACTCCTTCAGAACGTTCAACGACTGTGGCAGTTGGATACGGTTCCACAGTGGGAGGGCAAAGAGGTAACCCGGTCCAAGCAGGACCAGGAGGCTCTTCAGCTGCTTGACTGTAAGACTCTCACCCTGGTAATGGAGGGAATCAACCGGTTGGCTACACACATGAATGCTGGTACATCCCTCACCATCTCGTGAGTCACAATGGGAAGTTCCGCCTTGTCTTTAACTGCTCCTATCAGTATCAGGGACAAAACCTTAATCAGTACCTCCTGCCAGGACCCACCCTCGGGGCCTCACTGTTGGGTGTCCTTATCCGTTTCAGAGAACATCGTGTGGCAGTAAGTGGGGATATTAAGGCGATGTTCCATCAGGTTCGCCTTATACCTGAGGACCGTCCTCTACTCCGTTTCCTTTGGCGGGACCTGAAGATGGATGAGGCACCCAGAATTCTTGAGTGGCAGGTATTACCCTTCGGCACAACCTCCAGTCCGTGTTGTGCTACCTATGCACTACAGCGTCACGTGCGGCAACACCCCCTAACGGATGAGGCAATCCGGTTTTCAGTGGAGAGGTGTTTCTATGTCGATAACTGCCTGCAGAGCCTGCCTACGGCAGATGAAGCTCGGAACTTGATTGATCGACTACGAAATATCCTTTCCGGAGCTGGATTCGAAATTCGCCAATGGGCCTGCAATGATCCTACGGTGCTGAGTCACCTACCCGCCCACGCCCGTGCTGCAAGTGTGGAGCTGTGGTTGACACAGGAGAAGTCGGACATCCCTGAATCGACGCTGGGTCTGAGCTGGAACTGGCAGACGGACACTTTGTCCTACAAGCACCGACCTGTGATTTATGAGACTCTAACTTTGAGGAACATCTATAAGGTTCTAGCTACCCAGTACGACCCCCTGGGATGGCTTCTACCTTATTCAACTCGGGCAAAAATCATCATTAAGCAGCTGTGGAACAAGCAGAGAGGGTGGGATGACCCCAACCTACCACCCGAGCTCTTCCAGTCCTGGAATGCTTGGGAGGAAGAACTCCGATACCTTCCTTGTATCTCCTTTCGCCGGTCTTATGTCCCTCCTGAAGTTGGAATGGATGGAGTTACCCATGAAGTACATATCTTCTCTGATGCCTCGGCGCAGGCATATGGAGCGATGGCCTACCTCCGGACTACTGACCAGGATGGTCAGACCTACCTGTCCTTCATTCTAGCACGCTCCCGTGTCACTCCTAAACGAGCTCACTCCATTCCAAGACTGGAACTCTGTGGTAGTCTAGTTGCAGCACAGTTGTCTAAGTTACTTGAAAATGAGTTAACCCTACCAATCAAGTCTATTTCCCTGTGGACAGACTCTACTACGGTCCTCCAGTGGTTGAATTCTGAGTCCCGTCGTTACCGAGTCTTTGTGGGGAACAGAATCGCTGCGATCCAGGAGCTGACGGAGAAGTGTTACTGGCATCATGTAAGTTCTGCAGACAGCCCTCCTGATGACCTCACAAAGGGAAGACCTCTCCAATACCTTGCTGCGCGAACCGATGGTCCCAAGGACCCTCTTTCCTCCTCCAAGATCCCAAAGAATGGCCAGTAATCCCTAAGACTGAAATCAGGGAAGACCAGGTTGAACTATGGAAATCTACCTTCTGTGGGATCAGTACCTTTCCTCCCTCATCTGGTAAGATTGATGGATGAAATTACAACACCTGGCAAGAACTATTGGATGTTACTGCCCAAGAACTTCGAGTCAACTTGGTTCCAGGGACTTCTCCAGAGGCTGAGGATTACCGCCAGGCTGAGGTCCATATCTTCAAATGGGTGCAGCAGGAATCCTTCCCTGAAGATTATAAACTGTTAGAGACTGGGAAGCCAGTTAAGTCCGGGAGTCGATTAGTTACTCTAGCCCCGGAAATGGATCCATCCAGTGGTCTGATAAGGGTGGGAGGTCGTTTGCGGAGAACTGCAGGCATCGAAGACTCCATTTTGCATCCTCTGGTTCTGGATCCTAACCACCCCATCACTGGTCTGATTATTCACCATTATGATGACCAGTTACATCATCCTGGATCGGAACGGTTGTTCGGGGAAATCCGGAGATACTATTGGATTCTCAGAGGCCGCGAAGCGGTCCGCCGGTTTCAACGTAACTGCCCAGAATGTCAACGTTGGAGGGCCCAACCGTCAATCCCTAAGATGTCGGATCTACCTGCTGCGCGCCTCCAGCTCTACAAACCTGCCTTCTATTCTTGTGGAATGGACTGTTTTGGCCCCCTGTTAGTCAAAATTGGAAGACGTACAGAGAAACGCTGGGGTATCCTCTTTAAATGTCTGACCACCCGAGCCGTCCATTTAGACCTACTCCCTAGCATGAGTACCGACTCATTCCTCATGGCTTTAAGAAGGTTTGTTGCGAGGAGAGGAACGCCAGCAGAAATATGGTCAGATAGAGGTACTAACTTCCGCGGGGGTGAAAGGGAGTTACGGGAAGCTTATGCGGCTTTGGCTTCTGACATACAGGGTCATCTTGCCCGACAGAGGATCCACTTCCGCTTTAATCCTCCATCGGCCCCCCATTTTGGTGGAGTTTGGGAAAGGGAAGTGAGATCGGTTAAGTCTGCCTTATACACAGTTTTGAGTGCACAGTCAGTACCAGAGGAGGTTTTAATGACGGTCTTGCTGGAAGTGGAGGCAATCCTGAACTCAAAACCCTTAGGGTACGTGTCATCAGATGTGGCAGATGCTGACCCAATAACTCCAAATAGTCTCCTCATGGGGCGGCCCGATGGGTCTCTGCCTCAAGTCATTTATCCCGAATCAGAGATGTTAAGTCGCCGGCACTGGAGACATTCCCAGGTCCTAGCGGACCGATTCTGGTCCAGGTTCATACGGGACTACCTTCCTAGCCTCCAAACCCGGCAGAAATGGCAAGAATCTCCTCCCAACCTGAAGGAGCAGACATTTGTTATGATTGTAGACCCCCAACTACCTCGAAGCTTATGGCCTGTAGGACAAGTGATCAAGACCCACCAAAGCTCAGATGGTCATATCAGGTCAGCTGATGTGTTGATAAAGGGTCAAGTTTATACCTGACCGGTGGCTCACCTGGTCATCCTGCCGGCCTTACCAAAGGATGGACTTAAGGCCCAACACTGACTAGTTAAGTCACCTTTCATGGAAGCAAAGATGCTCTACATCTTTGGGGGTGGCTGTATTAAAGGCTCCTGTAAGAGGGACCTTTATTATGAAACTGGAGTCGTAATAGTACTTCGGTAGAGGGCAGTGTAGTTTGATGAGCTGCCGCTGTTTGCTGTGTTTGAGTGATCTGTCCGAGCCGTCAGCTGCAAGGATGATACTTTCACTTTGTTCGTGGGGATTTTTGCAGATTTAATATCAAGGTGGTAGTCACTGACCACAAAGTAAGTTGTGTTTACAGTGATCGCTACAGTGTTATATGTACCATATGAACATGCCCAGACATGTCCTGTGACGATCATTCTGTAGTATTCAGATTGGGAATATTACTTAACGGATAATTATTCATACTTTATCAAGATGTAAATCAGAGTTATGATGTCTTAATGACGTGATGTTGTTCTGTTAAGCTGCTACAATAACGAATGAGTGATCAGCGTTCTGTTTATGCAAATGTTACTCCGATGCGCCACGATTCTATCCATATATGGGAACTTTATGTTCATAGGGACAAATGATCACCCATGACTTGTAGTTTTCTGTGAAATACTACAGTTCAGTAGAGAAATGCCAATTATGTGAATTATGAATGCTTTGGTTTCACTATGTAACCGTAAATATTACTATTGTTTATCTATATCTTTAGATTATTAATTTCTTTATTGTACTTATTTTGCAGACTATCTACACCTTTGATTGTACCTCTGTGGCCCTTCCTTTTCTCTACTAATACACCATAGAAAGCTAATCACCTGTCTCTTCATTATTGGTGCTCTGACCGGCACCCAGGGGGGTTTACTCATCCATTACCTGATCAGAACCTAACAGTCCCAAAGTCTCTCCAACAATGGTTGTGGAATGACATTAAGGTAAGTAAATATCATCCTTTTTTTTTTTTTAGGTGAAAAGCCATTTAAAACCAGGTCTAAACAGGGTCTTGGTTTCCTTTGCGCACCTCTTTCTTTCTCACATAATTGTTTTACATACTCCAAAGGCCTTGTTGATATGAAGTTAATTGCCCTGAGGGTGGGGAAACAATAGCAGGACAAAGGGTTGCTTCCCCCGTTCAAGGCACACCGCAGGGGGAGGATGTTGCCAGGGGGGCTTTGTGTGGTGCCAAAGCCAACGGTCAATAGTTTAACTTGTGACGGATGACCAGCAAAGTGGCTGCTCAGTGTGAACCTGTTGCTCTTGTGTTAGCTAAAAGGCTAGGAACCTTTTCAAATAGTGATTTTACTGTTGTAAATGAGTCTTCAGGGCGAAGTACAGTGAAAAGAAACACAGAAAGAGCACGACTGATCAGCAGAGCTTCTTTGAAACAAATCATTTGTAATGCGTACAAAAACACCTTAAGCTAAATCTGTTTAGCATTAACTATAACTTCTGAAAGACTGCTCAGCTCTGCTCCCTGTCTAACTGATATTCTCCATCTGGCTGTGATCAGTGGACCATTAAAGTTCTTCTGTCTGTTTTGGACCAGATGAGATCGCTGTACTCGGCTTACACCACAAACACTTGTGGTTGTGTAACCAAACATCTGCGGTTCCAGTAAAAGCATAAAAGACAGTGAAAAAATGGATGAAGGGAGGGAGCTTCAGATCTGTCCGTTTTTTTCACCTTTTAGGTTGAAGAAGGGCTGTAATTTTATGCTTTTACCCAGCAGGCTTTGAGGTGCGGTAACACTTTACTTGAAGGGGTGTGCATAAGACTGACATGACACCTTAATAATCATGACATGACACATGTCATGAATATGAAGGAGGTTTTATGCATGTTTATGACAACTGTCATTAAGTGTCATTCGCTCAGTTATGTCATTTTTAATGCAAATATGACATTATTTGACCTAACCCTACCCCTACCCTTACCCCTAACCATAGCCCATAACAAAGACATCTCAAACAATGTCATCTTTGCATTAAAAATTACATAACTGAGCGAATGACACTTAATGACTGTTGTCATAAACATGCATAAAAAACCTTGTGTCATGTCATAATTATGTAGGTGTCATGCCATGATTATGAAGGTGTCATGTCAGTCTTATGCACACCCCTTCTAGTAAAGTGTAACCTGAGGTGCTAACTCAGTGCCAAAGAGACAGGTGACAGGTAGTCTCAGCCTCAGACGGAATGACCCATGGACTGCAGACAGTCTGTCTGCTGATGTCTGATGCATATTGCATCCACTGGTAAAGACTGTCACAGCATTATTATTATTTTTTTCCCCACACCAGCCTGTGATTGTGGTGTACTCCAATTCAGACAAATCCAGCCTTACATATCACATAAAAACAAAACATACCATAGCTGCTCACTTTACATGTGAGTCAGTCAAATAATCTCTTCCTGTTTAAAGGGATAGTTCACCCAAAAATGTATTTGTGTTTTTGTTTTGTCTGTACAGTGAAAGTCAATGGGCTCCAATGTTTTTTGAACAAAGAATATCTTCTTTTGTGTTCTGCAGTAAAAAAGGAAGTTTTGGAAGCCATGTTTGTAATTTTTTTAAATTTTATTTTTGGGTCAGCTGTCCCTTTAAGAACCCTCTAATCTCAAAGCCTTCATTGTACTCATTGTATACAACTTTACTAGTCGTGCTTAGGCATGTGTAAATATTTTAAAAACAATAACAGGGATTTCTGGAATTTGCTAGAGCATGTGGTGTGATCGTTACGCTTGCTAACCCAGATTTAATTGTGGCACTATCACCACAACCCCAGAATAGCTCTGTATTTCATTTCAACATCAGCTGCTCTGCTGCACGTCAGTAAAGAATATAGAGGCCAGAACAGTAATATTCATGAGAATCTTAACAAGTCCTACTAAAAATTCAGGCCTAATCCCTTGTTGTACTGCCATAAATGGGATTCATTCTCTTGATCCTACTCCTTTGCCTGAAGCCTAACAATTATACTGCATGCTAGTCCCATCACTAAAGTACAACCTGATGCTAAACATGAGAAAATGCTTTTTTGCACAGAAATAGATGGCATGCAACCATATTTGACAAATGTACTAATCATTGATTTCTCCTGTTTTGTATAGCAGATGAGCCTGCGTGATGGAAAATTCAATGGCAATAAAGTTGTAGATGAAAGCACAGACACCCTCATCTCCCCATGGTGATAAGATCATGTCTGTCATCTGTCATTCCCATCTGAGTAGCACAACCTCCTCCAACTGCACTGGGAGCACTGGAGGAGGTCTACAAGTGTGTTGAACGAGCAGGAAGAGGAGTGTGATTGTGAAGTAGACAGACAGCGCAAGCACATACACAAGTAACATGAAAAGGTTCAGATAATGTGTGTTTGTGAATGCCTCAAAGTTGTGTAATATTAAGTTTATATTGTGAGGGATCTTTCTGATTTAATATACCATTATGTAAGAGGCACACACCCAATTCCCAAAGCTATGAAGAGGACTGGACCACAACCACAAAGTCACACAATACTGACAATTGTGTATGTAGCAAAAACAACAAACAAAAAAATTAACTAAAATAAAACACATAGGGCCCTATTTTAACGATCTAAGCACATGGTCAATTGCTCTTAGGACGTGTCCGAATTCACTTTTACTAGTTTAAGAATGGGAAAAATGGTCGGTGCGCCCAGCCCATGGTCTAAAAGGGTTGTCCCTATTCTCTTAATGAGTAATGGGTGTGTTTTGGGTGTAACGTGCCATAAACCAATCAGAGTCTCATCTCCCATTCCCTTTAAATGCCAGTTGTGCTCGCACCATGGCAGATTCGCTATTTACATGGCAGAATTTACAAGCGGAAAAACGGAATGCTTCTCTAGTGAAGGAACGGCTCTGCTCGTGTGCGTAATTCTGATACATGCAAAGACTATCCATTATGACATAGGCATTTTTATATTTATGTACACAATAATAATCTTTTACATTTTAATCCTTTAATTTTTAAAATGTTTGTGTGCTGCTGCGCGTCCCTGTGTGTGTAATAAGAAAAGTGTACACACGTTGTGCACCCGCCTAAAGGTGCATATTACTAACGCACTCTTTAAATAACAAAAAAATTATAATAATTGCGCCAGACTTTAGACCAGGTTTTTGTTGGTCAATGGCGCAGTCTACTTCAGTTGCCTCAAAATAGCAACGCGCCAGCAATGCACCTGAACACACCTCGTTTTCAGATCAGCACGCCCATGGGTGCACAAATGGGCGCAAATGCATTAAAACAACGTGGCACAGGACGTGAAAATGACAACTGCGTCGGGCTGAAACTAGCAAAAAACACTCGCGTTGCACCTGGCGCCGCATTGTGCCGGGTGTATGATACGGCCCATAGACAGACCAAGATGAAACGCAACACAACACAGAGACCGGTGAAACAAGACAAAACAAAGAGACTAAATAGAACACATAAACAGGCAAAAACTAAATAGACAGGCTGAAATAAAACAAAACAGAGACAAAACAAATCACAGAAAGAGACAGACTCCAAAAAACATAGACTTAAACAAAACACAGAGACAGGCCAAAACAAAACTAATAGGCAGGTTGAAACAAAACAAAGACAAAACAAAACACAGAAAGAGACAAAAAAAAAAAAAAAACACAGGCCAAAACAAAACAGAGTCAAATGAAAATACAAAACAAAATACAAAGACAGGCCAAAACACAGTGACAGACAAAAAACATAAATAAATAAATAACTATTAAAAAGTTTGAACTAAGCAACACTTGGCTAGGTTTCCCAGTTAAACATTCTCCAGTGCTGTAGTGTATGTTCAGGTGGAGAGATATTTGATGTCTTATTAGCCATATCAGTGCAGTGGTAACCAATTATGACTTCGTTGAAGCAATGGCGCCTCCTGACCAAAGGTCCGTTGATAACTAAATATAGTCAGCAAATGACTTTGACACTTACAATGCATA